AAGTGGCAACACCATAATCCCCAAGGGTGGGAAGCTCATTCTTTGTCTGCAGGATGTCTGGAGTGATAAGTAGCTGTTTTATTAAAACCCATGCGGCGCTTCTTTGTCCTGACAAAATTATCATTTGCTGTTTGGTATGGTGTGTTTAAATGCAAGGCACCCTAAAATTTAAGGCACAAAATGAAGCAATGGGATGGAGGTGGGAGAAGTTACTTAGTGCTGTGTAAGCAAAAAAAAAAACCTCTATAAAGTTGTAACTTTGAATTTTCACTTGAAGTGGTTTTTATGCCACAGTGGGACCTTTCCTTTGGTCTGATTGATGCAGTTGACAGTATGTCAGTCAAATGGGAAATATGAGTTCTTTTGTATAACACAGGTCAGCTTGAAACTTCTCATATATCACATCATATCTGATATGCGTTCACTGTGTGAGTAACGCTGCTGCTAATTCCTTTATGAATGTTTCTTTGTAGTATGTTATCGCAAGTTAGAACTGTGCACTAATTTAGGCTGGCACAAGCCAGTGCTCTCTAATAAACATGCAGTAGCAAATGCCTCATTTGTACTTCCTGCAGATAACATGCAAATCTGGATCTCTTGAGTCTTTTGTTCTTAATTTGCTAAATGAAACTTTTATTCATGGTGTATGCTACCAAAAATTAGGCTGATTTTGATGCAGTCTAAGTATGCTCATGGTTATATCCATCTTGCTGTATCTACTTATGCTGGGAATAACGTATGTCTGTACCTTAATGAACTGGGGCTTCCTCGGACAAGCAACATGTGCCCAAGACTTAACATAGTAATTTCTTGTAGCTCTTCCCAAACTCTTTTTCTGATTTGCTCATTTTCAAATCTAGATACTGTTAGCCAAGTCCTTCAGGGAAAGCCTGTTTCTGAATGAGTGTCTGATAAATATACTCTTGTGTGGGAGAAATAACTTTGATTTTGCTCTACAGAGTGTAAATTTGTTGCTTTGCAGAATTCTGTAAATCTTCACCCTGATAAAGGAAGATTATGAGAGTGGTTCAAGTAGAAAAGCAGACTACATTGATCAGGACTGCTGCTTTACAAAAGCTGTTGCTACTTTCTAGTTGTTTGCTTGCCTGAAATCCAGTTTTCTTGCTCTCTTTCCCAGAGGAAAAACTGCAGTTGTGACAGGAGTGTTCATGAAGCTCCTCTGAAAAGCACAGTATCTGGGTCAAAATTATCCAAGTAGTGGGGAATTTCTGCAATCATTAATTGTATTTATACTTTAGTTATGTCACATAGAAACCTCCCTAAAACTTTGTTTTTTTTTTAATCTTCTGACAAATATATCTCTACTGCAGCCATCACCTCTGTTTTCAGAAGCTGTGCATTGGTCAACCCTTATCAGCTTTAAAATGCTCATAATTTATTTCTACACTAGCTACCTCATAATATTCTGGCTTAAGCATGCCGGAGGTTTTTTAACACTGCATTTTGAGATTTTAGGGGATTTCAATCTTAGGTGTTATAAATTGCACTGCATGGCCTTTTTACTGCAGTAAGTGAAGCCTGGAGCAGCAAGTAAGGAGAGAGGAACTGAAAATGGAATCTCTGAGGAGAAAGGAGCAACCAGATTTTGAAGAATGATGTTTAGGCCTGTTGCAGTGTTCATTAATATTCACTCCATCCAGTTACCACAGCAGAAATAGAACTGGAATGCATGTTCTGGGGTAGGATGGTACCTTTTTCATCATCAGCATGCCTAGGACTTGCTGTGTACTCCAGGGAAAGTGTGGAATCACCTTGTAGCCAAAATCAGGTGGGAAATAGGGAACAGCGAGCTAATGTGTCATGGGGATGGGATGCCCTGAGAGGATGCGACATCTCCATCCTTGGAGATTGTCAAGGTTTTGCTAGTTCTATGATTGTGCCACCAAATAGGACCTGATCTCATGTTGGTGATGATCCTGCTCTAAGTGGGAGGTTGGACTGGATGACCTGTGTAGGTCGCATCCAGCCATTGCTTCTGTGGTTCTCAGTGCTTGAAGATCTATTACATCAGGTTTAGTAATTCCACCTTTTGGCATTAATTGCTTTCCTGGCAGTTTGCTTTGCTTAGTCTGCATAACCACTTGTGAGTACTAGATTTCAGTGCTTTCAATATCCCATAGGTGGGGCTTTTTTATCAACACCATGCTGACCTTTTCTTCCTCAAGCTACTTTTCTATTTGTATGCCTACTGCATGTAAAAACTATATAGACAGCACAGCTGCAATCATCTAATAACAGCAACAAGTTCCTCTTTTTTCTCTGTGTTGCTGTATCTACTCTGAGACCTCTTTGCTCCTAGTGATGAGAGTGGGAAGAAGCAGCTGGTGGCTTCCTGCATGTAAAGATAAGAGTTGTGTCTGTGGGTCATGCATTGCTCAGAAACAGAGAAGTAAGTGGAGAGTGTACTATGCATATGGAATCCATATTGTGCCCTGTGCCCCCAGGCTGTTCTTGATCAACTGAAGAAGCATGATGCTTTCTGAAAATCAGTGCCAAGGTGCTTTAGCTGTGGCCTGGCTCAGCTTCTGTAAAGGTAAGGTACTGCATTGAGCCAGCAGGTGTGTTCTGACTTTGAATCCTAGTGCAGGAGCCAGAAGGGGTCTGGAGTGAGGCTGCTGTGTTGTCCTCACCCGCGCTTCTCTGTAGCTTTGCCAGTACACGTTATAAACAGTTTTGGAGACTTCAGTAAAGAAGCTTCTGGTCTTTGCCACTGGTGAAGAAATAAAAATACTTTTACAAGTTAGTGTAGCAGAGTGCTTTGCTGCTCATTGGTAGCAGGGCAGTTAGGGTTATGTCTGGCAGATAAAGACCCCCTATGGAGTATTTTTGTAGCGTTACCATGTAGCATTTCTGGCTTCTCCATGCTCTTGAGTGTTCCTAAGTCACTCAGTGGCCTTTTTAGCAGAATGTATTTTGTTGCTTGTTTTGAAAAAGCCTGGAAGGCAACTTTCTTCGTGGGGTTTACTGTTGCCAGATGAATGGAATGTTTTTCAATGGAGTATGTCAACTGCAAATATCCATAGGTTGGTTGCTGAAAGCAAAATTTTCAGCATATTTGAAAACCTGGCAGAAAGAATAAATAAAACCTCCTGCCATGGTGTTCAGAGGACCGTGGCAAATTGGCAGACAAATTTGAGGTTTGTTAGAGATTGCTCTGCATGCGTGTGTTAATGTATACATCTGATTAAAGTCCAAGTAGTTTCTCAGCAGTCCAAGTGACATGCAGTTGGTGTTTAGTTATTGATTGTGTTCACCTTATAATCTCTCTGTGAATCCAGAGCCTGTATTATGAATATAATCATGCAAACAAAGCTTTTAGCCAAGTGTCATTTCAGTCTGAAAGGTTAGATAAAGATTATTTAAAATGTTGTAACATCACTTTCTTTGTACAGAAAAAAAGGAGGTATAAACACAAGCAAACTCAGACTTCAGAACTGTTGAGTTTTAAAAAAATACCAGACTATGCCTCTGAGAATGTATTAGAAATACCCATATTGCTTCTATTTGATCTGCCACCTTAAAACTCATTTTGAGAGCTGGATTTGGGAGTGGGGTTTTTCAAGATGTTGGTAGATCTACCCCAATATTTTTTGCCCTTTTGCATCTAACAGCCTTGAGGTCATACAGAGCTGTTTAGAGACTATGCCCATAGTCACTCTTGCTGGTTTCTGTTTAGAGGAAACAATTTGTAAACAGTTGGACAGTTTGTTTCTCTAATGTGGTAAATGCGTGAGCTTTGATCCACTGTTGAGAAGTCAGGGTAGGTTCTGCCCTGGTGAAGTTCGGATGTGCTTCTGAGGGTGACCAGCCTTGCTCTGTGGTTAATGTCAGACTCTGAAGCATGTTGTTGTTCAGGCGAGGGGAGATATGCAGAAATCAGAGATATGCAGACAGAAATGGACTGGGGCGTGGAGAGCTAAGAAATGCTTTTAAATGAAGGGGAGGAAGGGTTTAGGGATCTTGTGGATGGTGGTGCCAAGGGAGCGAGCAGTGCCAGCAGTTCAGTGCTACTGCCTTGGCAGGTTTCTTTCCCTCTTGTTTCTGACCCAGGCAAGATGGCAAAGGATGTGCTGTTGGATGGTTTCTCTGTAAGCCTGAGAGCAGGAAAAAGCTGGAAACGTGCAGTGCAGCTTGACGGGTGTTTGGCTGTGCTCCTCAGTGATGCTGTAACAGGGACAGAGCCTGGTAGCTTGGGCATCCTGGTGCTTGAGTGGGAGGGGTGAAAATCTGGGTGGAGTAGTGGATTCGGGAGCAGGGGCAAAATAGCCTCGCTGAGCTTAGACCTCATGCTTTTATGACTAGGAGTCCATGATTTCTGACCTCCTTGTATTCTCACACCATTTAATGTACATTTTATCAGCCTACTGTATCAAACACAAGGGCTGCTCTTGCGAGCTGCGGGCAGACAAGGCAAGCTTTGTGCGGTGAAAGTGGCGATACCCCAAGCACACCAGAGCAGAACGAAGATGCTGAGGAGAGCTGGGCGGCGTTTCCCTGTCCGGATCGCACCGCTGCCAGCTGGGCATTTTCACAGCGTGCTGGGGGCCCAACACGGAGGCAGCGCCCGGAATAGCTGCCTGGTGTCGGGGCGAGGAGGAGCCGCGCTTCGAGCGGTTCTCGGAAAACCAGGGCGAAACCGCAGCCGCCGTTGTCACGGGGAGAGGCGGGCAGGGAGCGGAGGAGGGAGGGGGACGTGCTTCGGTGCCGCCCACGAGCGCGGGGACACGCGTGGAGGAGGCGCGGTAACGGCGTGGGGGTGCGTCCGGCGCTTTGTCTGCCCGCACCGAGCAGGCCCGCGCATTAGCGGCTCTCTCCGCACGGCCCGGGGCCGGCGGCTCTTTGTGTGGGGGCCTGGTCCCCTCCACGGGCGCAGCGGGGCCGCCGCGCCGCGGAGGGAGGCGAGGCGCGGAGTCGGCCGGTTGCCATGGAGAGGGGCGGTCACGTGGGGCGGTGGCCAGGGGCTGACGTGCGCGGCGGGGCGGGGCGGGGCTCGGCGCGGCGGGCGGGCGGGCGGTGAGTGTCGTGTGCCGCCACCTTCTGCACACCAGCAGCGCGGGGCTCGGCGGAGGCAGCCGCGGGAGCGCCAATGCCTGGACCGACACAAGCCCTGTCCCCAAATGGCGAGAACAATAACGACATCATCCAGGATAACGGGACCACCATCATCCCCTTCAGGAAGCACACCGTGCGGGGGGAGCGCTCCTACAGGTACTGCGGCGGATGGCGGGGCGAGGGAGGGGAGTGTGGGCTGCAGCCCGGGGGGGCGGTTGCATAAGCGGGCGGGCTGCAGCTCCCCCATCTCCCCGGTCCCGCCGGCGCGGGGGAACGGGAGCTGGCATTGTCCGGATGGGAAGCGTTCGGTGAATAGGCGGGATGTCTGCGGGGCTCGCCGCTGCCGGCGGAAGAAAGGCGGGTTGAGATAATAAAAAGCAAAAACAAAAGGGGAAAAAGGGAAGAGGGAGAAGAAAAACGGGAAGGAAGGGAAAGCGAGCCCCGCACAGGCAGCCAGCTCCCCCTGGAAAGAGCCGCAGCACCTCGCTGCGGATACCGGAGGCGGCGCCGTGCGGGAGGCGGTGGCCGGGGATGGCGGGGTGCGGGCAGCCCCTACCCGGCCCGAAGAGCGCACCGGGCGATGGGCACTGCCCCAAAGGGCTGCTGCGTCCCTCCATCCCCGGCACACCGGCCCGAGGCTGACAGCGGCCCCTCGCTCGTCGGGGCCGGGCTGACAGCCCCCACCCACCTCACCCCCCCGGTGCTTGCGGGGGGGGGGGGGGCTCCATCCGTCCTCCTCCTCCCCCCCATCCCCCGCCAACCCCATTTTGTATTTATTTATCGTTTCTCATTTGGGGGGGGGGGCACGTCCTTTGTCGCAGTTGTAGGCATTTTTGATGAATCGTTTGGCATGCGTTGCTGGCAGCGCTGCTGCGTTAACATCTCTGACAATATGCTCCGGCAGATAAGCTCATTAAAATTGCTTGCATTGTTTGATAAGGGTCGCGGCGTAGCTCGGAACGCAACTGGTTTGATGTGCTCCTTGCTGCCGACTCGATAAATACGGCCGGTAGCTCCCCTTATGTTAATATACAGTTATTTTAAATACTGCCCGAGTGACAGCAAGTGGTGCCTCTGCAGAGAACACGCCCCTTAAAGCTGATTTTCGAACGGCAGGAAATGATGCTGCTCTCAAATATCTGACTAAAGTGGCGAGTTGTATGCTCGATTAGATGAAAACAAATGTGGATGACTTGGCTTGATTGAAGAAAATCACAGTATTTCTTCTGCTGCTGAGGAATAACAGAGCTGCTGAGCATTAATAACCTTAACAGTGAATCTTATTGTTGATCGCACACTGACGGGAGACCGTGAAATGCATCAGAGATCCAAGCGTGTGGTTTGTTTCAATACCACAAAATTTAGTCTGTCTCTCTCTCTGAATCTATTGATGCTTTGTGTAATGAAGCCCCGGATGCATGCGTTTAGCTCAAAGTAGTAAAATTGCTTTTGTAAAGACCTCTTTCTACTTGCAGAAAGGTTGGAGCTCTGGCTTCCTATACTTACAATTCAGATGAGCGGTACAAGGTTCTGTTGTAGAGGAAAGCTGTATTTTTATCGTGCATCTAAGCAGAAATATGTTTTACATGAATTATCATGGATCTATTTTTAGTGCGACATGTGTCAGGTGCTACTGATTGCTATCTCACTGCTCTCCTTCAGAAGGGTTCTTCAGAAAATCTCTGTTAGATGGGGTTCTCCCTTACCCTCTTGCAATAGGTTTGTATGTAATTTTCTGCAGCTATCAACAAGGCAGTCATCTTATCCTTCTACCTGTCGTATCATACATTGAACTGTGTCTAGGGAAGAGTCTTTGTGAGGCTGCTGTGTTAAACACATGATGACAGAAATAGTTATGTTACCCAGTTTTCCAGAAACTGTGAAGTTATTCTGTGTGTGAATAGCCTTTCATCCAAGAGAGAACTCCTTAGTCTTAGCTTTGTATCCATTTGTATCCGTACCTGGAGCAATATAGAGGGGATGCAGAACTACTAACATTAATGTCACATGTTATTTTTGAGCAGTAAATAAATAATCCAATTCAGTATTTCAGAAATAGACCTTTAATGCACTAATAAAAATTTCCACTGGGGAATTATATTCTCTTTGCCTTGTGGAAACCTATCTTGATCTACAAAGTCATAGCACCTATTTCTGTTTATTTCCCCCTTTCTTCATGGAGGTGGATGATACTTGATTTGTTTTCACCTGTAGTTGACTACTTTGTGAGGTAAATATTAGCCACAACACAAAGGAAGCGTTAAAGAAATATGTGTAAATTGTGGTGAAATTTCTTCTTGACACTGGAAAAGAATGGGCTTTTAACTGCAATGAAAACTTTTAGAAGCTAGACTAGTTTGGTTTTTGATTGGTTTGAGTTGCAGGAGAAGATCACTAAATACAACAGGTTAATACCATCAGTATTGTGCCGACTGCCACGCTGCACTGTTGGTGCCAGGCTGACTTTGAAGCAGACTTATGAAGCAGCCCATACAACTTCACTGTATGACACATCAGGTTGCTATGCCTCTGATTGTCAGGCTGGTTTGTTCCATCTGTATCTAGAAATATGGAATAAATAAGTCATTAAACACAGCCTGGAGCATGACACCAGATCAGCAGTTGTACTGATCTAGAAGCACGTAATTTGCTCACAACTGCAGCTTTGCTCTTAAGTTAAACTTCATCTGCCCTGTGTATAGAGGCTCAGTATTTACCTTTTGCTTCTCTCTCCTGTAATATCAGAAATGCTTTCTCATTTTACTACTTTTAACATGCTCTGTTTCATAAATATTTTAAAACAGAAGTTGTTTGATCATAATGAATGTGTTTACCAGTTTAAAGTTTACTGTTTCAAATACCATATCCTACCAAACACTTGATATCCAGCTCCTGAAGCAGACTTAGAAAGAGCTGTTTACACCATTTTATACACTAGGAAGCTGGCAATGGATGGCATTGCCCTAAGTCATCCTTTGAGTTTAGAATGCAGCAGGGAGTTGAACCTATACCATATGAGTCCCAGTTATGTGATCCGTATGCAAAGCCACAAATAGTTTTCCCAAGTCTTCCAAAGGACGTATTACATTTTGCAGACTGGGACATACAGGCCTGAGGTGTTAAGTTTCTCATCCAGCTTTACTTAGCTGGTAAATGGAAACCAGGCACTTTGGCATAAAATTTAGTCACAAGTAGATGTTACCTTTTCGGAGTAAACAACTGTAATCAATCTTTATTTCTCCAGTGAAATGCTGTTTCAGGCTTTCTGGATCTGGAGGCTGACTTTAAAATCTGTTTGGAACTAAGGTGTCATTTTTTTGGCCCAAAATAGATTTGGGCTCACTTCTGAGAACAGCATTACATTTAATTATAGTTTTACTTCTATCTTCAAAGAAGGCTGAAAAAATTCAATGAGAAACCGAATCAACAGCTTTGTGGGGAATTTTTTTGAGCAGGGCATGTCTGCAGTGCTTTTTTTGTCAGACTCCAGGCATCTTGTGTGGTTGTTCAGCTCATCAGATTTTTAAAAGCAAGCTGGACGAAGAGTTTGAATATCTCCAAGTTTGAACAGCATACCTAGCCTAAACCATTCTGGTCTAAAAGGGAAAAACTGTTGTACCCTCCTTTGCAGGATACCATGTCTAACTTCTGTTTCATCTACATGCTGATAGAAAAATGGTTATGTGGCTAAGTTTAATTTTATACCCCCAATTTCATAAAGGAAGGGGAAAGGGGACTATCTTCCTGATTATTTCTTTTCAAATCATTAAGCTTAAAGAAACTCAAAAACCCCACCAAACCTTCCTTCTTATGAGTAGGTACCTCTCTGATGGTGTCTGTTTTTAGATACATTTTCCTAAATGTCATCTTCCTCTTAGAGAATGCCTTCCTCTTATGCTGTGTGTAATAATGAAAGCTTGGCGGAAGTGGCAATTTCCTCACCCACCGCTGAAATAAACCATGGGGTGTTACAGAGTGTATCTGGCTGTCTTTTACTCGGTATGAGCTGACAACTTCCACAATGAAAGTAGAGATTTACATTACAGCAAAATCTGTTTTGATCCTTGCCTTCCCAACTCCCAAAGAATTGCTGGATGCAAGCTGGTCCCGTGTGGCAAAGAGCATCCTTCCCTCTGCAGGATATGTCCCTGCCATCATCTCTGGTGCTCTGCCTTTCACACTTGTGCAGCTTTACTTGGGATACAAAGGGAGACTCATGGCTTTACCTTACTTTGAGTTAGAAGGCATTTCTTGCTCTAAAATTAGGTTCCATTGAGTATAGTAAGCAGGTAATTTCAATGAAGTAAAAAAAAGACTATTTGTGTTGATAAAACTAAAGGCCCAAACTTGCTGAGAGCTGGGAAGATGATACAGAGTAAAAGCAGTGAGTTGTCTTAATCATCCCCCGTGCAGATGGGCGCAACTGTTTTCATCCTCTGAAACTGTACATGCTAGTCAAAGCAAATGCTACTAAATATATTAGTAACTGAATTATTTTCAGGGGTGTTTTCTCTTGGCCTAAGGACTCCTATTGCATATTATGAGAATTTTGCCCTAGATTTCACTGGAAGCAGGAGAAAGGCAATAATGAATGGTTTTGTTTTTTTTTTTTAAGTAAGAAAAGCAGCATGAATCACACCCTATTGATATTCCCCTTGCCTGTCAAGAGTCTGGGTTGCAACAAGATAGTTACTACCTATCCAAAAGAAGACCATCCTGATGAGTTTTAGCTAGCAGCTAGTAACCAGCATAAGAGGCATCATGCAGAAATCTCTCTGGTTCCTGTGGGCTTAGGTGCACTCTATTTTCCCTTCTTTCACTTTTGTAAAGCTGGCTTCCTGTTGCTGCTGCTGCTCCTCTTTAATCTTGTTTTCTGATTAGGGAGTACTTTGCCTAAGGAGAGCTGTTTTGGTGTCTTCTGCTGAGTAGAAGTACCCAAAAAGCACAGGGTGAAACTGTCTGAAGATAACTGGGAATCACATGTGAATGCATGCAAATATCTTGGAGGGTTAGGAGGATGACTCTGCTCAATACTCTGTAGTTTGAAACCTTGAGAGTCTGCCTCCATTACTGGGTTATTTCTCTTGACCTGGCTTTAGATCTTCCTTGAAGGAAACGTCTTCACAATGTTTGGGGAGTTGAGGCTATTTGTTAAA